AGCCTAGACTAGTAGAGGCTTGGCCTATTTTTAAGTTCTTACTTACAGAGGCCTACCTTTTTAACAATATTCTACCCTAAAGGCCTAAATCTGTGTAGCAGCTAGCGGTGAGCAAGGTTCCAAGTAGTCCTATAGCCTACGGTTACCAGTCCATGTCGTTCTTAGCAGGCCAGAACTATTTTTATTCAAGTAGGTAGCCAAAAGGGAGCAGGAGCTTGTTCTAGTCGAGACATCCGCATCTTCAATTTTGAAAATTTACCAAGATTGATTAATATGCATGAAGTTAGCCAATCACGTGATTTACAAAATCAGTCATGCATACGATATCCACATCAAATTTGATGTGGGAAATTGCACGCATGAATCGTTTGCCCAGGCCCTAATTCGAAAAAAAAGAAATCGAGTATGGGACGCCAATTAAATTAGGTATGGCGCGCACTAAGTGCAATAAATAGTGAGGAACCTAAAATTAGGGCTTGGAACCCAGACTAATGTATACAGTACTTGTTCATAGGCAGTAAAGATCCATAGAGCTAGTATAAACAATCGATACTTTGGTTTTAAGGGCAAACTGTATTTTACAACTGCCTCTGTATTTTATTGATGGGCCTTGTTTTTAGCAAGCTGACACTAGGCTTACCATATCTTGGTGGTTGTACACGGAGCCTTAAGATAATGCTGATATATTTAAAGAGTGGTGCCGTATCCCTCCTTTTTACCAGCGTGTTTTTTACTGCGGTATTTGCCACGTTTAGCTATCAAGACGACTGATTATTTAAATAATGACCATTACTGTACAGTTATCGTATCAACACCATATATATTGCACTATAAATATTGTATCAAATGATTGTATGCTTCATAACGTTTCCTTTTTTTTTTGCAATAAAGAAAAATTTGCAGGTCAGAGGTTTCTAGTTATTCTTAATATAGTATAGTAAATTATAAAAAATTTCAATATTAATTAAACCAAATGTTTTCTTAATTAAAATAGATATTGCAATTACATTTGAATCACAAGGTGGCACTGCAACATGCACTGCAAAAGGTAATCCTATCCCATCTTCCTTAATGATACACAAAAATGGAGAAATGAATGACAAAGGGGAACTTACGGCATCTGTGAAAATTAATGAGGAGATTTGTAAAGCAGACATCACATGTTCTGCGGAGAACGGAGCGGTTAGTGCAACAGAAACATTGAAGACATGTAAGACAGGTAATTTTTGTTCGGCCACAAAAGGTTTTGGCGGTTTTGTGTTTTGTATTTTGTAGGCATACGTAAAGAAAAATAAGCTACTTTTTCTTTGGGTAGAGAGCGACAAATGATTGAATGATTGATATATAAATTATTTTTGTATCGAATTTAACCGTATAGGTGTTTAACATTATTTTGAAACATTTCCTAGTTTTCGTCATTTTCGACTTTTCAGATAAGTAGATATGCCAACCTATTTATTAAAACATAGACATCCAGGTTTAACTTACTAGTACTGTAATAGCTATTATAATTACAGGGAGGACCCAGTAGGTAAACGGCGGGGTAGGGGGAGGCACGTGCCCTATCCCCTTTTTGAACACTAAATTTGTAAAATGTTAATGCCCAGGGGCGGATCCAGAAATGGCCGGAAGGGGGGCCGAAAGTTGGGCCGATTGAGACAACACTGTCGTAGGGGGTCCGGGGGCATGCCCCCGCGAAATTTTTGTGTTCTAGACGCCCGAACATAACATTTGAGGCATCCTTGGCCATCATTTTTTTCTTTTTCTCTCTTTTTTTCCCTTTTTTTACCTCCCAAAAGGGAGGGGGGCCGCCGGGCCGGCCCCCCCCTAAATCCGCCCCTGATGCCTATCAGTGTTATGTGTTACTCACTTATCTATTCTGAAACTTCCCACTCCCCCGTTTGAAAATTTCTGTATCCGCCCCTGAATTATATAAATTTATGATCTAAGGTTGTATTGCATTCAGTTCCATCTAGTTGCATAGCCTTGACTACTGGAATGTTTTTTGTCGGTGTCTTTGTTGGTTGCATCGGACTAGCAGCTGGATTGATCGGCTACTTTAGGATTAAACAGGTTTGTCAAATAATAACAATCTTGTTTATGGTTTAATATCGGTTAGTAATATATGATAAATAGTTTGTATCTGTTTAATGAAGTTATGTTATCTTTATTAGGCTTACCGGTATGTTATTTCTACTTAATGTTTTGTATATTTAATTTTATTATCAAGGACATCAAAGTTCATGTTTGCAATTGTTTGTACTATTGATAAAGTGCGTCTGATCTCATTTCATTTCATCTTATATTATCTCACCTTCTTTTTATCCCCACTCCACCTTCCTATCTGTCTCATATCATCTCCATCTGCATTCCATCTTATCTTGTATCTCCCTTATCTCAATCGTCATCTCTATCTGATCTTCATACTCATTTCGTCTCCATTTTTATATCCATCACAACAAATCTCCCTTTTCATCTCCATCTTTATTTCGATCATCTCATCTTACCAACATCTCTATCTCCATCTCAGCGCCATCTTATCTCCATTTTCATATCTATCTCTACCCCAATCTATATCTTTATCTGGTTTGGCTTGTCTTATCTGATTGCAATTGTTGTAATAATATTTGCTTGATTATCATGTATTTTAGAAGAAATCTGAAGCCATGCGAAGTACCGACACCAGAAAGCATGATGTGAGTTTGTATTTTACATTTACACATTATTTCACATTGTAACTTGTAAATGTTACCCAAGCAGATCTCAGCATACAAGTAACATGTATACTTTCATCATACTATTTCAACTTATATAATGAAAATTATATATGCTTTATACATGTATATTTTTAAAATAATTTAGTTGAATTTTCATATTTTGTTCTCGACTATATGAAATAAATAAATAAACCAAATTATAAAATGCCTTGAGTATCTATATTCATTACTTTTAATTTCAATTCATTGCAATTAACCAACCCCGTAAGCCTAATAGTCTATCGATATTTAATTTAAATTATTCGATTTGTATATCTTGACAGACTTACATGAAATACATAGCAGATACCAGTGATGAGAACCATACTTATCAAGATCTACAGCACACAAAAGAAGAAACAGCTTACATTAATGCCAGGGCGGGAAACTACCATCATAAGTGAACACTTTGGCCCATATTCTCGAAAGTTTTAGTCCGGGACTAACTTTAGTCCTGGAATAGTTAGTCCTAGACTAGAGTTAGTCCTGGTTTCGTATTCTCGAAACCTGGACTAAGTAGTCCAGAGCTAGACCCGACTAATATTTAAATCATGGAATATGTGAGGTCAAAAGAATGTTCTCCACGGCAACGCCATATAAACATTACTGATCATGCTCAGTACGTCTGTTTGAACTGTTTCTCGGGCAAAATTATGTTTTTATCTCATTTATAGTGTTTTCATGGAAATATCAGAATTGTGTCCTACACACTTGTACAGTGAATTTGTTTTGGGGTGAATAATTAATTCTAACAACTTTAAAATTGTTTTGAAAACAGGCCCGTATCCAGCTTTTTGAATGGGGAGGGGGGGTGCGTTTTGCGATCGCAGCGAGTAACCAGACTGGGGCCCAGGGGGCCGAAGGCCCCGGAAAAATTTACTTTCATACGTCCTAGTAGACTAATTTGAAGGCATTTTATCATGTTAATCTCTATATGTCCGTGAACACAGCGATAGGGCTTATAAAAAAAATTACCAGTGGAGGACATGGAGAAACAAGCAAATTGTTTCCCAAATGAAAAATACTACTGTATGAATTCGTAACCATTACGATTAAAAATTCAAAATCAATTCTGCTTTTAAATGAATAATAGCAAAGTTTGATAAAAAAAAAAAAAAAAGAAAAAAAGAAAAAAAGAGTGGATTAAAAGCGACTGTAAATGAGCTGATTCAAACAACTAGAAGCATTTGAAACAAATTAATCAACATTTTTATTCTTGTCATCGACAGAAAACATATACAGAGGTATAAGCATAATCATACTGTATAATAAGCACGCGCCTTCCTCGAGTCGAAAATCTGTCCAGATTTCCCCATTTCTTTTATTTTATAAATGATGGCTAAATAATTATCTTTAATATTAGGCCTATTTCTATAGTTCATGGGTTGACAAAGTCAAAGGACAACATATTAAAATCAATCTATACCTTCAGGACAACCGTGGTCTGGGTTTTCATCTTTCTTTTGGTTCGCATACTGTTCTTCTAAATCGGGTGGTAGGCATTCATTCCTATCTTCACGGTATTTTTTGTTGACCCAGCCATCCAATGTTTGGCAAGATTTTGCAACAGCTTTTCGCTTTTTAATTTTCTACTCCTTTCTCCCCATTGTTTAACACGTGCGCGCTCCAGCGTCGAGTATACTCGTCTCAGGGTCAGCACTATTTCTGAGAGCGCTAGGAACGATTATACTTGTCTAAACCGGGGTGTCATTCTAGCATTTTGACTTCATTGCTATACACTGACATACCGGCTGGTAGTTAGGGGAAGATGCACCTAGACGATAACGTGCATATAACGTGTGTATGTTTGTGGTGTTATGTTGCTGGCAGTACAAAAGATTGCGCGTGTGGAGTCAGCGTTCTAGTATTTTCTTATTGTAACTCATTTGTACATTCATACAATCTTAATACTGTTATGTGATTTATTTTATAATGATTCCGGGAACAAGGTCACATTTTTTTTGTTATAATTAGTGGACGTTTTTCGATTTGGGGGTGGGGGGTATTAGAAGATACATGGTACTCCAACAGCTGAATCCTGGTCGATGACATATGTAACCTAGAATTCATTCAGCTTATATGCTTACATTTTTCAGTGTAAAATAATTATATTATAATTATAGTTGATTGATTGATTGATTGATAGATATATAATTTTTTCAGTAACATCCATAGTAATTATAACACCATTGATTTAAAAACAATGATGCATTATGTATATGCAGCTAAAATATAATGTTATTTATGATACAGTAAATCAGAATATTTAAAACTATTGTTCTTCAGTTGATTGAACGGCAGTTGGTAGGCCTAGGAATTATTTTATGATCGTTCATTTGGCTCTTGTTGTTCTTTCTTCTAATTTCTTACATACCAATTCAGCCTGAAATGAAAAATAAGAATTTTATTGCAATAAAATGCACACTGTAGCCAGAGCTTATGTACATTTTAACATTACTGTAATAAAAAAAAAAGCACATAGTGAAATGTGCACATATTTAAAATTACTTAACGTATTTTTAAGCATAACTATATCAAACTTAAAAATTATTATTGATAACTGGTAATATAATAATTCCAGAATCTACTCGACGAGGACGACCTTAACGTTCTCACATGCGCAAATGACTTTAAGTGACGTCATTACGTTCTACGTCCTACCGTCGTCGTGCAATCGAAAGCTCTCTAATAATGATATGCAATGGCGAAAAGGAGCTCTCAACAGGAAAGTTAAGGATTCGAATAAACTCTTGTTCAATTTTGTTTCTGAACCGAGAGTTATATTTATCAATTATGTAGACTTCCTATGTTGGATTTGAATGTTATGTTGGATAATAATTGATTCTCTTAAGAAGCCCGACGTAGACGTTGTTACATTAATGTGCTGTTTACACGTAATACTTTTGTATTTTATGCGGATTGATATAAATATCGCAACCACAATAATAGTGCGTCAACCAGTTGGAATTCTGATGATAGGGAGTTGCATAGCACTAATAAATTTCACCAATATAATGTATGTCAACATAAGATAAATTAGTAGAATTGAGCTTAAATGAAATCAGCGGCTCAACTTTAAAGCTTACGATGAAATTTTGATTTTAAGGGGAACATATCTGATATAAGCGATGGAGAGAGGCATGTAAGGTCATGTAGGCAAGGAATATCTATTTTATTATAAAATACATCTAAACCCGACAGTAACTAATGATTTTTGTTTATTCACTGCATTGTAAGAGAGAACTGAACAGAAACTTCTGTCTAAATTTGTTGGTTGAATAGCTTTTTTAATGCCTTAGATCTGACATATCTGTTGGCTTTAATCATTTATGCAAAAAATAAAATATAATACAGCTATAACACAACATCAGCCTGTTATCATCTTCATTTTATGATCTATGTGGTTAATGTGAGTCAACGTATTGAGTTTTGTGTGTGTGTGTGTGGGGGGGGGGGGTTTACTGTAGACTGAGTGTGTGGGGGGGGGGGGGTTTACTGTAGACTGAGGACCATGGTTATTGATCCTTTGCCTTTGAAACTGAAGTATTTCATTTCATTGTAATCAACCATAAATCCAGTGGTGAACTTTATGTTACTTGTGGTATCTATAATTGTTCAGATGCATGGATGTGTTAGTCTGAGTTCCACTGTCCTAATTTGTGTTATCAGTGATAGACTGGGTGCAGTAGGAAATTAGCGGGAAAAAAGTAAAGGAAAATTTATTTTTGGTTTTTCTGAATCAGTATATCATATAGTGTCTCAGAAAAAATAATCCCCATTCTTAGAGCTTGAGCAACTTTTTTTTATAGCACTTTCAAATTCTGACATAAAATATCCTATTTTGGACAAATTAAGATGGGGGTAGGGGAAATAAATGTATGTTTTTAGTCACTTATACGTATGATATGTATATCAAATTTAACTTGAACTTGGCTAAATAGTTACTCTTCACTCTCGTACAAAAAATTAATCGGAATGATGACGTCATTACAAAAAATTCCAAGATGGCTGCCATTTTGGAGTTAAAACATTTTTATAATGTAAAATTACCTTTATTGTTATCAGAGCAACTTCAAAACATTGTTATACATACAACAATTAAATAAAACATATGCACACACACT